ACTATCTATCTAGATGAAGAGTCACCTTTACAGGTTTGTTCTGGAAGTTCTATGTCCAAGTGAAGACCTGTGGGACTTAATCCGACACTGAGGACAGCAGGCCCCTTGAGTGAGGAACCAGCCTTCCCTTCTAAGTCTGCAGCGTCATCTGACTAAAAACACTGTAGAAAAAGCCAGGGCCACTAAGAGTTACAACTTAAATTCAGTATCAGTGGATTTTATTTTATGGTAAGTATAAAATAAGTTGTAAGTATGACAAGAAATGTTGAGAAGTAAACATAAAAACCAGCTGATTACTGTAGACATTTTGCAATTATGACTAAAATTATGTGACAAAGGTAAAGTAAATATTGCATTTGTATAGAAAATGCATAGCAACAACATAGAGATGAACTCTCCTGCTGGCTGAATCTTCTCATTACCAATAATCATCACAACCAAAATTGGGTGATTTGTTCCCTAAAAAGACATGATCATGCACATCTTTTTCTCAAATGACACCAAGACAGTAAGAGAAAGAGAACAAAGCTAGATCCTCTTTAAATTTAAGGCTTTGTCTATAAATAGATGTATGTAAAAAAAAGGATAAATATAATATTTTCCCTAACCTACTTTTTACCAACAGGCAGTTTTCTGGAAAGGAATGGTAAGGCTCAGAACAGAGGTAGGGTTAATGGGTTTGGGATAATGCAAGTAAGTGGACAGGATTGTATTTATTTATGAACCATAAAAAGGAAAGTTTGACTGGAACATGGAGTACATTTGAGGATGTACTGCAAAATGAAATTAGAAAAAAAGCAAGTGTGATTTATATTATACAGTATATCTAAAATAATGCTGTTGGAATTTAATTATTTTAAGTATCGATCTTGAGCTCAGTAAAGAAGCTAATGGTAAAGTATATTGGAATTTGCTTTTGTGATATGAATAACAACTTGCCCTCTACTTTATTTTTAAGTTCATATATTTTAATATTTTGAATTTAAATCCTGGGATAACCATGACTCAGTATGGTTTCTCAGAAACACAAGAGACTTTTGGAGGATTTTTATACTCATAAAGTACACATTTAGAGATTAAGCTTGCAAGCCTCGGCAATAAAGGAAGGTTTAATTTGAATATTCTCCTAAATTATTCAATTAAATGGAAATACCTCCTAAATCCTTGTTTTAAAAAAAATATACTGGCACAATGTAACATGTCTTTGTTCAGGATTTGGTCAGAAGGCAGAAAAGGCTTTACTGCATCAGTGTTAAATATATAAAATATATGCAAAGTTTATAAAGAAAAGTAGTATAAACATTGATTATCATTTTGGTGAGGCATCAGTTGGTAATGATATGGTATCAATACTTTAATTTATACTTGATTGGGTAGGTTTGAAAACACAGATGCAAATCCTTAGGAAAAGTGCTGCCAGTGAATATCATAAACACTACAATTTAGTTGATATTTTAATATAATCTTGCCACTCTAGAATCTTACCATCTAAAATTTCAGGAATAAGAAAGTGGTTTTAATTGCAGCCAGATAAAATTAGGTCACAAAATAAGATATAAAGATTTTTAATCTGGTTAAGAAATTAATAGAGAGAAGAAAAAATTACGGGAAGTCCACCCTGGAGATGATTAAGAACAAGATAAATGTCCATCTGCCTAGCATAATTTTTGTGTGGCTTTCCTGAAGGAAGGAAAATAAGATCTGCAAATTTGCAAAATTTACACAGCATCAATTTCATGTTGTCAGGATGCTGCCATGAGCACATTTAGCTAATCCACATGATTAGAGCAAGTCCTTCCAATGGAAGTCTTCTGATAACTGGAATTTGCTTTGCATGAAGTCTGAATGTGCTAAATACAAGAACCCCCTTACCGTGCATCAGACTGGCTTTTAGTGCTGTACAAAAATATCATCTTGATGCAACCCAAGCACATAGTCCTTCGGTCTGGGCTTCTTTTTTCTCTTTTACTCCCTGGAGGGTGGGAACACTGGCCCTCAGGGCACCATGCGGGACTGTCCAAACTGTAAATGCATCCACTGGAAGGTAAATTGGACCAAGCACTGTACCTCTCCTTCTCACACTGAACATATTATAGTAAATATTAAGTATGCTAATATTTGTGAACTTCTACTGAGTTATTATTTGGTGGCTTGTAGATACCAGTTTAATAACAATATGAGTTAAAATTTACCCTCAGATTAAATATATTCTTCCAGATATATTTTTCACTTTCAGTGAGAAAACTAAATTCTATACCATGGTCCATAAAATTAGACAGTTTTTAAACAACATAATTTGGACTATTTTTTATTTCTTAAGACTTTGTTTATTTTTATAGAGAGGGAAGGGAGGAAAAAAGACAAGCAGTGAAACATCAAGGCAAGAGCGAAATACTGATCGGCTCGCAACCCAGGCATGTGCCCAGACCAGGAATCAAACCAGCCACCTTTGGGTTTGCAGGGTAATGCCCAACCCATTCAGCCACAACAGTCAGGGCATGAACTATTTTTTAATTACAGAAAAATGCCTTTTCACAGTAAAATTTAAATAAAAAAGTTGTAGCTATGATCCTAATAAATTAAATAAACCGAGAAATGCACTGTGGTATTTCAATGTTGCTCTAATGGTCTCTCCCATTGTTCCCCGGAAAGCAGTAAAATACTGGGAATGAATTCTATCTTTGTTCAGCCTCTTTAATGGACTCTTACTTCCTCAATACAAGAAGATTCCCTTCTATTTCCTCCTAGGAACTCTTTCCTACAGAACTCCATGATAAGTTCAAGTGATCCTCTTTTACCTCTTTCTTTCCACAGGACAAATACCAATATAGTATGTAGTGTCAGGGTCTTGTGTTATTCACTCAGTACTTCCTGACATATTTTCTCTTTCCACTTTGTAGCTCCATGTCCGAATGACCCTTAATAGACATGGGTCTTCCTTCTCCATTCCTAAACTGCAAATTACTTTACATCCTGCTTTTCTGTCTTCTTACCTTTTCTAGAGCTAACGTTCAGCAGTTGGTTAGTGAATCCCTACAGAATGAAATGCACTCAAATTTCATAGCATTTTACTGTTTTAAATTCTTTATGTATCTTCTTTTCCTAATACTCACAACAAACCCAAGCAATTATTATCCTCATTTTCTGAAAGTGAAAACGAAGGCTCAGTGAAGTTTACTGGCTTATCAGAGCTACAAATCCAATAAATAGCCAAAGATTCTAAGATTCCAGCCTGAACCTCATCTCACTGTATACATAATAACTGCCTTAAACTTTGGGGATGAAATAATGCATGTGGGGAAAAGATTTTTAAAAATCCTGCTAAGTCAATAATGCATTCCTTTCAGTACACTGGCTGGCATCTCACTTTTTTTTTTAATCTCTGAACTTATAAATCCCATTTTTTTAAGGTTAAATGAAGAGAGCATAAGGAAGAATGTCACCATGACTGGTATCCTGTTCTCAAATGCATCCTTAAATTCAGCAGAAGGATTACTTATAGACTTAAATTCCCTGCATATCTTTCCTACGAAGTAAAAGCCACCTGTTTGAAGGATTTAGTGATAATGCTGCGGTTAGATTGTAAATGCATTCCCAAAGGGTGGTCAACTGTAGCCGGTACTCTCCTTTTATGGTGAAAGATTGGTGACCCAAGTAGGTGCTACCTAGGACCCTCGTAGTGTTTGTTCCAATCAAACACGGTCTGCAGGGGCAGTTTGGAACACTGTGCCTCTCAGAACCTACCCGAAGACTCCCCTAAGCTCTAGCTGAAGAAGACAAAAAGAAGGCACATAAATTCCTCTGAGTATGTACACACTCATAATAACCTAGGGCCAGATTTTAATGGCTCTACACAGCCACATCTCGAAGCCTGTCTTTTCTCTTTACTTGTACCTTGAGAAAGCACAAATTTAAAACAAAAACCATTTGTATGAAAAAGAAGACACAAGGGCCAAACCTAGTAGCTTTTGTAAACAGTTGTCCTCTTTGATGAGGGGAAACATCTGTCTCACTTTTGCTACTGAAAAAAATAATGTTGGACCCTACCGTGGCGAATTCTGAATGTAAGTTAATTCTTCACCAAGTCCCTGCCCTGTTTACTGCTAAAAATTATCGAATTCTTGATAGTTAATCTGAGCACTAGGGAGCTTTACCCCCCCCACTTCAAACTAATGTAAAGGATAAGGAAAACAGTTTATGTTCTAGCTTTCACAGTCAACCAAAGCCCATCATTTTCAAAGGATAATACTTAGAATTTATATAAAATATACCAACAATGTTAGTATTGTCACTGAGATTTTAAATCTGATACGTACTTTCAGAACTACCTCACTGACAATAAACGCTTCTACACAAGACTACAGATCAAAGGTTTATCAAGGAAAAATACACAAAGTTTTCTTTTTCTTCTTTCTTTTTTTTGAATAATATTATACATTTATTTTTCATAAATATATGAAGAAAATAGAAGAAAAATATTCACACAAAAGGAAAGGAATAATTTTCTCACTCTCACATTGTTTGGATTTAGTGAAAATGGTGAGCTAAAGCCTTTTTAAAAATCTATGGCTCTAGGCTACAGGTACCTTTAACAAAAAAATATCATCTACTCTTTCAGGAAACATAGTTCAGATTCTGCATATCTAATAAGCACCAATAACAACTGAAAAGGAAGTTCTTGAAATAAGCTGACAGTAAAAGGCAGAAAATACATTGAACCTACCTTTTTATCAAATCAATTCCTTTGATTTAACAAGATTAATCACAAGGTTTGAAGAATGAATTTGATAACAAGTTCAGATTCAAGACACCTTCTAAATGAGAATCCCTTCAAGACAGCTCATGAAAACAATGTAGACCTTACTGTTACAAGCTCTCCTAATCAAGCATAAGGATGCACACGGCTCTTACCACTTTTTATTATAATTTCTTTAATATAAATTCAACTTTAAAATTGGATAGCTTTAAAAAGACAGTATACATTTAAAAAATATACTTACAGATTTTTAATGTCAACTGCTCCACGGAAAGCCTTCCTTGGAATTGCCTGAATTTGGTTTTCACTGAGATCTCTAAAAATAACAAAAAAAGAATAGGATCAAACTACAAAGTAGTCAAAATTATTTTAGTCAATGGAGAAGTGATAGAATACTGTACTTCTAAAAAATACTGAAAAAATCATAATAAAATCGATAGCACTAGATGCATTTTCTAATACAAATATTTTCTATCTATTTCCAGTATAAATTAACTAATGGTTTCTTGAAGTACTTTTACAGATCTCTACTTTCATGATAACGTATAGAATATGGTTCTCCTAAATATAAGTTGATTCAATTCTGTGCAATACAATATTTATTTAAAACAAATAGCAAAGTTTTCATACTGAATTTTAAGGGGTTCTAAAGTTTTAGTACCAATATTTCTACACCACTGACAGAATTTACAAAGGTTATATAGGAAAGCAGTCCACTTTAACACCCTAGAGAAGAGAGGGCAAAAACCGATCAAATGTGGCAGTCTGATTAGGTTTCCATAGCACTTATAAGTAATCTTGAAAATGGAACATGGCAGTACTAAGCCAACAATAAAACCAGCAGTTCCCATGTGAAATATTATCAGCAGGTTGAATTAAAACCTTCTTTAAATAACTCTCTTATAACCATAAACACAGCCTGTCTATATTTGCATTTTAATTTAATTGAGAAATACATTTTAATCAAGGGGGTAAAGCACTCTTTGAGTTGGAATGAGAAGTTAGTAAAAATCACTCATCTCATGAAATGCATCATTACTTTTCCTTCAGAGTTCACATGCCATTGCATGTGCTCACACCTTATTATTAGCCTTAACGAGTAGGACATACACAGTGAGAAAAGCCACTGAAAACAGAACATGCTCGCCTCATTGTCAGCGGCACAGCTACATGGCAGAAAGTTGAAATATCAAATAAATAAATGATTAAAGTAACCATGACGGTGCTAATATTATCATCAGAATTCTAAGGTAACTGATGCTCACAAAGGAAAACGAAACTACTAACCACAGAGCCATGGCTGTGATGAAGAAGACAAGGCCATTTTCCAATTATACGGAGGCACCCTGGACGGATTCTTCCCCATCCTCTCCCCTAATGCTTCTTACATCCTGAGCCAGTCATTCACACACTTATGGCCACGCAACAGGGACAATCGGCAGACAGAAAGATTTATTGCGTGGCCTTGACCTCATTAACGTTAAGGTTTAAACAACAAAGATTTGCATTTATATTTTAATATCCTCAATGTTCAAACAAAAAAAAGTGTTTGCTAATTGTAAAGAAGTAAATGTCAGCCTATTTAAAGAGTAAAGGTCTTTAGGGGAAAAAGCAAGTACGTATATTATTTCTAACAGTAAATCTGCAATATATGTGGATGCAGAAGTTCAGGCAGCCATCCATTTCCAAAGGACTGTAGCTGTTACTGCTCCCAGTAGTTTCGGTACATCCCTAAGAGTAATAAAACTTCATTTCCTTAAAAAGGGCTTATTTTTACAGCTTGTCATTGATCGAGACTGACTTCCTTCCTTTGTTTAAGAACAAAGGGTTAAGAAAATGTAACAATATATATTTAAAAGCCTTGAAACTAGAAACCGTGCTTAACGGAGGCTACCACGCACAAAAGTAGAGAGAGACACTGGAGAAAGAAAAAAATCACAAAGTAATAAGACAGGAAGAAGGATGGAAGGTTGAATTCAAGCAAATTTGAATCTATAATGCTCCCTGAAAATTAACAGTAGGGTTTACACTGTTGTGTACTGTTCATTCAATGTTTTCTCATCTCTTAGTGATTTTTTTTGCGGCTTTTAAGACAATGATGGCTTTAGAGATTGTGCGGGTGAATACAAAGGGCAGAGAAGTTTTCTTCGGACCTTGCCTGCTTCCCAGACTCTGCCGTCCTTCCATGCAGCCAGCTGGAGCCTCATTCAACACCTGCGGGCTCAGCTCTGCTCAGAGTCTAGGCACAGTTCCCCCTAGGGCCATGATCTCACATGGGGAGAGGGTGGCATGGGAGGAAAGTCAGGGGAACATTTTATGAGGATCACAGAGACATCACTGCGGATCCATGCTCGCAGTCAGAACATTGCTCCTTCTGAATGTGATTTCAGTCCTTCTGGTCACCATAGGCAGAATTCTGGATCATGGCAGCGTTTTACCCTGCTAACACTTAGCAATCTTTTCTTTTTACAAGAGAGTGAGCAACTGTCCATCTCAGAGGCTCCTTGCTCCCTGAGGGTCAGTGGTTTAAGTGTAGCTGCCCCCTGAATACGTCGCTTCCCAGAGGACTGTAGGGACTCTGCACTGTGCCCAGCCCACTCCGGCAGATGACTCCCATCTCAGATCCCAGGCCCCGTCAATAAGGGGGCCGTGGCTGCCCATGGGAGGAGGAAGACACTAAACACACTTTCAGCCCATACTGTACTTGACAGTTAATTTTAAGAAACAGTATATTATCATTTTTGATGTACAGTTTCTTTAATCTCCACAACCATCTTACAGTTATTATTACCCTGGTTTTACACGAAAGGAAACTAACCTTCAGAGATGTTAGATATTAGTGCTAAACAATGAGATGGATTGCTAAAGTAAATGCATAGAAAATAGAAAAATATTGAGTCCAGATATGGGGAATTTTAAGGGTGGCACCAGGAGTTACTTAATTTCAATATATCTTTCCTGCAGCCTAGAACTCAGAAGGCATTTTTCTTAACTAATCCTAGCCTCTGATTTCTGTCATTTGCAAAAAGATGGGTAAGACTGCATGAGAACAATGACTCACATTTTCTGCATAGAATGGAGTGGGGATTAGCAGTCATTTTAACCCAACATATATTCACTTAATGTCCGATCTATGGAAGACATTGCTGATGCTACAAGAATTACTGAGTTGTGTAAGACCCATTTTCTGTTATCAGAAATTTTCAAATTTAATAAAGCAAATGATGCTGGTAGCCAAATAGAAGGCTAAATGAGAGATTCATCGAATTATTCCCAGTCTAAAAAAGGGAGAAAACAGAATAAGAAGAAAGGTAATGCGAATGTGTCTCAATATGAAGATGAAAGGCAGAGTGGAACAGCACTTCTAGTGAAATCAATTGCAAAAGAAAGAGTACAGAGGTAGAAAAAACAATGTTTTATGGGAGTAGCTCTTGGTCTGTTGGTTCAGGAGGTATAATGTAAGTAGTGGAATAATGGGAGATGAAGTCAGAAGGACAAGTCAACGGTGTGCTAAGCAGACTTTTTGATACCACTTAAGGAACAAGTTCTCGTATTAGCAGACAATGCTGAAGGGAGAAAGAAGGGTAGTCAGCAGGAGCAGGACAGAGGCTCTTCTCCCGACACATGAAACTGGCAATGGAAACCTCGGGTCAAAGACTCCAGTTCAGAGGACCACATGCAAGACTCCTATGCTAGCTGGAGAAGGGTAGTGAGAATCCCAAACAACATGACAACCATGAACACATTGCTGGTTCACCCTGTGCCAATGAACAGAGGAGATATCTCTCACCGTATAGACAGAAAGGTGGAGAAGATTAGCAGTGGTATTAGGGACTCACAAAGAACCCAAACTTAGAAGTGAATTGTCTGTGAATATGGATTAGGCGAGAGGAAGGAGACAGAAGTGGCTTCCAATTTAAATTGGGGACTATAAACAAAATTGGGAAATCAGAAGAGCAAGTTGCAGCATCCATTATGAGTTTGTTGGACATTTTTCAACCTAGTTAGAGAGGTGTGATATACCGTATATCACACAGTTTGATGACAGCAAAGAGAATATATGATAAGTAGAATATGAGTGATACTTGAGAAAGGTGATCTAGGAGATCAGAAATTTAACAGTCATTGGAGGCTTGATTGATTTGAGACACTTTCAAAATAGAACGGGATCTTTCTGAACCTTGATAGAAATGACTGGGCTCAATAATTCTCAGCTTCCAGTGTTGGGGAAGGGGTGGTGGGTGGCAGAAATCCAAGGAGAGAGGCAGCCATGACAGAGGACTTAAGAACATAGACTGCAGACCTAGACTATCTGAGATTAAATTCTAGCCCTGCCATTTATTAACCATGCAACCTTGGGAAAACTGCTTACTCTTTCTGCACTTCAGTTCCTTCATCTGTAAAATGGAACCATAATCATAGCTATCTCATGGGATTGTTAGGTAGATTCAATGAATTCATACTTTTAAAAGTGCTAAAAAAAATACTTGGTACATTGTAATCACTATAGAGGTACTAATTATGTTACAATTATTCCAGTAGGAAATCCTATGTACCCCTGAGTGTGTCTGCTTTGTTCCTTGAAGATTACAGCAGAAAAAGTGAAACTTAACTTACAGGAGTTAAGTGTTCTGTGAACCATGTGAAAAGAAAGGACTACTGAGTTAGGGAGATGGAGTTGCCAAGGAGAATCTGTAATTATATCATTAGGCAATAGAATGTAAAAATGTGTTCCAAAGTAGGGAAGTGACTTGACTGGAGTTGACTTTTAGGGACATTAAACTGGAAATTGAATTTCAGAGCAGGTGGAGACAATGAGCAGAGACAATGGCCCTATTGGGCCATGCTGGTGGAGGACAACGGGGGTCTTCAGTGACCTAGGAAATTCTCCTTAGTGAATGTTAAGTAATGAAGGTGAAAGTTGGGCTCAGGTCCAAATATAAGGTCTTCAATGTAAGTTAAGCCTGCTGTCATCTTGGGAAGGGCTTGAAACCACTGAAATTTTCTGACTAAAGGAGTAACAAAATTCAAAAAGTGAATTTTGTAATTTGGGGAAGACAAGTGCAGTAATTAGAAAGCCAGCATTGAAGACTACATTGGTTTGGGGATATTTTGTACACAAATACGGGAAGGTATTGAAGGCTCATGAATTATTAGAATTAATATTGTTAAAACATCCATTCTAGACAAAGCAATCTACATATTCAGTATAATCACTACCAAAATTCTATGGCATTTTTTTTCATAGAAATAGACTAAACCATTCTAAACCAAAAAACCCCTGAATACCCAAAGAAAGTCTGAGAAAGAAGAACA